CCATTTGATTTTTTAATTTGTTTGTATTATCTAAAAATCAACAGGAAAACACCTTTAATTTGTTATAGAGTTCCTTAGTTTCTGGGGGCTTCGCCTTTGGATTGCCCCTCTGGATCCCCACCAGGACTCTGTCCTGGACCCACTGGGAGCTTTAATGCATCCCCAGACTTCCCTATCTTCTACATGTACTGCCCCCCCCCCCCCCTCAACGCTAGTTAAAACGTTAACAATAGATTTTGTTGATAAACATAGATTCACGTCTGTAAGCTATAATTAACAATCGTGAATTATAGTTAAAAATTGTTAATCATAGTTACACAAATCCTATAACTATATTCGTGAAATATAGTTAAGAGTTGTAAACCATAGTTTACAAATCGTGAAACTGTGTTTACCAGATAATATATGTTTTGCAACCGCAAATGATTGTTTTAAGTGTTTTATAAATAGTTTACGGTTCTTAAACGTAGATTATCGCTTTAACTATGGTTTACAGGTGTAAAATATAGATTAACGTTCAACTTATTACCTATAATTTACAGTCCGTAAACAATAGTTTACAACGTTACCGATAAACCTAGTTTTTCGACTGTGAAACTATGTTTAGCTCATTTTAGTGAATTTGGCGTGCCATGTATGACATTTTCTTAATAAACAAGGTCATCCTTTAACATGGGTGGATCCAGCAATTTTTGAAAGGGGGGTCCAGTTCGGTGTACCCAGAACTCATGCATAGATTCGCACCATGGCCACTTCAAGTCTGAAACATTTGACAAGCACAAAAAAACATAAATAAATAAATAAATAAACAATGCACCACACTTTAAAATTGGGAGGGGTAGAGGGGCTTCGTGTTACTTTTCTGTTCGGTACATTACTTTCAGTCATGACTTCAGTCATGTTTCCGGCAACAAAAGATGTAGTGGGAGCTTCAAAAACAAAATTTTATTTAAACTGGAGCAAAAGATTATTCTCAGAAAAAGTAAACCCCTCTTTCTGTATACTACAGGAACATTTTAACATTATTTCTAAATTGATTGAAAAAAATATTTATGGAAAGTTAGCTACTTCTGAAGATGGTCCAAAAGTGGTATAGCTAAAGTTCACTGGAATCTTCCTTACGTGTTACTTGTGGAACAGTCTGTTCCATGCACCAGTATGATATGAATATGTGCAAATGTTCATGTGTGTATTTATTTATTCCTTTTAATTCACTTGTAATAAATGAAAATTGATCCATATCATATTAAGGCCTTGGCAGACCAGAGGTGGGTTCCGGGAGTTTGCCTCCCACCCCTTTTATTTTTGTGCAGAGAGAAAGAGAGAGAATGGTTTTTCTGTAATATATTTATACGTCTAGTCATTTGAAAAATGAAAAAAATGGCTGTCATTTCGACTCGCTAGATCTGTTGATTTTCGCGTATTTGCTATCCACCGTGTACATGTACCTTCACAACCCCGTCTATAAGGGCTCGGAACATCCACAAGGAGTCTGATTAAAATCAAACCTTCACTAGCTCCTTTATCTTCACTCGACAGACAAAATAAAAAGGAGCTAACGCCAAATACTTATCAATTTGACAAATAATTTTTGTTTTTCTTTACGTGTGATTCGTCCGTACGTTTCGTCAGTTACACGGGTAATCACACAGTAAACAAGTTTACCGTTCGTAAAACAAATATTCGTTCGTTACGTGTTTGGTTTTCTCTAATACGCGATTTCTCGGATAATACTCGATTTCGAGTATTCTCTCCGACCTGTTTTAAATTATTCTTGGTCAAGAGTAAGACGTTTAGTTGGGTAAAGCTGTTGAACTGTTCCATTTGTTAAGGTAATAACTTTTTTCTTTTCTTGCATATGTTTAAAATATGCTTTTGATACATTATTAAATTGATTGAAAACCAAAGAATTTTTGGAAGAATAATCAGAATCATGTTTAAGTTAGCTTTTGTAATTTCTAGGAATGAACATTTTTTATTGTCTTTGCAGATCGCAGTGATTCATCGTATCTCTCTCTCCAGATAGCTTTGGCGATTTTTGTTGTGTTTGCCGCTGTATCATTTATAGTCAACATATACTTTGTCAGTATAATAAGAAGGCATGTTTATTTTTTCATGATAATAGTATTATGATGATCAATGATTTACATTTTGTAATTTTTTTTTGCTTCAACCATATATATTTTTAGATCGAATTGTTATGGCCCCGTAAACGAAGTTTCGGGGGTATATAGTTTTTGTCGTGTCCGTTTGTCTGTCTGTCTCTCTGTTTGTCTGTTTGTCCGCAAAAAACCTTAGGCTTGTCCATAACTTTTGATTTAGTAGAGCTGTGACTTTCATATTCCACATGTGTATTTCTTTTGACAAGACCTATCTTTGAGTACAACCAAATTTGACGTTTTGGCCTTGATCTTGGAATTTGATCCACTTTTACACAAAAAAATTCAAATTTTTACTTTGGCCATAACTTTTAAACTGTAGACACCAAGACATTTATACTTCACATATATATTCTTTGTGGCAACACCTTTTATTGGATACCACCAACCTTGACCTTTTGACCTTGACCTTGGAGATTCACGTAATAATGAACAAAATTTAACCTTGACAATATTTTTTGAACAGTAAGAGCTAAAGCTTTCATACTTCACATATGTAATTCTTGTAAAAAGATGCTTCATTGGATACTAAGAGCGTTGACTCTTTGACCTTGGAGTTTGACCTACTTTTAAAAAATAAACCTTGATTCTATCTTTTAAAGGGTAAGAGCTGGTACTTTCATGCTTTACATATTTAATATTTGTGACAAGACCTTTCATTTGATATCAAGACCTCTGACCCTTTGACCTTGACCTTAGATTTTGACAAACTTTTAAAAAATCTTAACCTTGGTCATAACTTTTGAACGATTAAGGCTAAAGCTTCGATACTTCATATGTATATTCTTCGTAGCAAGAGCATTTATTGGATACCTATAACCTTGACCTTTTGACTTTGAACTTGGAGATTTCCGGACTTATGAAAAAATATTAACCTTGGCAATAACTTTTGAAGAGTGAGGGCTAGGGCTTTCATACTTCACATATGTAATTCTTGTGACAAGACCTTTCATTCAATACCAAAAACCTTGACCTTCTGACCTTGATCTTGGAGTTTAACGTACTATTAAAATCTTTTTAACCTTAGCCATAACTTTTGAATGGTTAGGGCTAGGGCTTCCATACTTCAAACACGTAATTTTTGTGGAAAGACCTTTCATTGCATACCAATAACCTTGACCTTCTGACCTTGATCTTGAAGATTTCTGTACTCATGAAAAACTTTAGCCTTGCCATAACTTGGGAACAGATGGTGATAGGGCTTTCATGTTTTTCAATTGTATTTACAGTTAGGAAACCCTACTTTGGGTACTAATATATAAAATTTGCATCTAAGAAAAGTTTTATCTTCACAATGTTGCCATATGGCGGCATCAGTGTTTTACAAAACACATCTTGTTTTGTTTTGTTTTTTTTTTAATTTTTTGCATTAAATTTGGTAATAACAAAAGTAATTATTTCTGAACAGGAATCACAAATGTACAACAAAGAATTCAACAAATGAAACGGCTGATGAACTGAATCATTCTTCTACAAATCAATCGAGTACAGATACATACACGGATTTGGACATGACAAATACTGTAACAGTGACAGCAGCATCAACAGACCAATATGAATCGTTGCAATTTCACAACAATTTAATAACCAATTAGAATTTTTTACTAGGCTTGTGTTCAAAATTTGCTGTGCATATATTTTTTCATTGCCTTAAATGTAGTTTAAACTTTTTAAGTGTTTGTTATTATTTTTTTTTTCTTTTCATTGTTGATTATTAGGTTTTACATCTTTGCTCAAATATAAGAATTGAAGTTTCAACCACAGATATTATATCATTATTGCCTGCTCTTATGAGTTCTATTCTAAGTTGTTATTATATTAATATTGCATGTAGCTGAGTGTAACATAGAAAATTTTCACTCCAAGAAAACCATCGTCGACTGCGCCTCGGTTCACAATGGTTTTCTTGGGGTGAACATTTTCAATGTTACACTCAACTACATGTACAATCAATATTTTTTTATTGCAGCCTGGAGGACCGGGCTGCTCTATACATATAAGTTTACCTGGTGGTGTAAGGAGATTGAGGTGGGAGAAGTTATTCAGAATTAAAGGTTTTCTAAACATTAGAAAGATTTTCAATCGGAATGTTCTTTCCCTTTATAAATTACGAGATACATATAGAATATTTACTTCCAGAAAGTGAATTTATGAAAATATTTATTCGTTTTGATATTAGATATATAAAGTTGCTTCTCATTTACTACTGAAAAAACGACAGGTCCCTTATTTTTAAACATTGAATTTTACTAATCGCATAAAAACGTACTCTACACAGTTCGTGTTTTATATTCTTAAAGTGAAATACATTTTTGAAAATTGATAATGCATGAGTTTAGTTTCAATTTATATTTTATGCAGCCAACATTTACTTGAGGAATTGTTAACGTTTAAAATGGGTATCGTTTTTGTTCGATTTTCATCCGACTATAAGTTTTCAAAATATTCTCGACTATCGTCTCCATCATTTAGACGCATGCATTTTTCACACATATCGAAGCGTTTGATGATCAAGACTCATTTCGAATTCCATTGTTTACTTTATTTATTTCCCGGGCGACAATTGATGGTTACATCAATGTTTTCTTGTTATACTGAATGTTTTATAAAAATGCAGATAACAGTGAACCGTGCGCGCATAAATTCTGTGCAGTTGCTTTTTTTTTTGGAATACCACCCGTCGTCAAGCAATCATTATCATGATTCCATTATTTAGCTGGTTATAGTGGGTTTTTTAACAAATGTTTCTCGACCAATCAGATTCAAGAAGGATATTGAGTATAACGAACAAGATTCAATCTCAAAGTCCATAAAACAATACAAAAGAAGAGCACAGCAAACATGGACCCCCGAAACATCAGAGGTGGGATCAAGTGCCATGGAGGAGTGAGCATCCCCTGTAAACTAATAAGCATGAAAGTATGATATTGCATATTGCTAAACTTGTGTTCACTTGTTGACAGGTAAAGACTTAAATGGGCATTTATCTATACTATAGACAAATGCCCATTTAAGTCTTTACCTATCAACAAGTGAACACAAGTTTAGCAATATGCAATATCATACTTTCATGCTTATTAGTTTACAGGGGATTTTATTGTTTAAAACATCTCCAAATCTATACTATAGACTTGGAGATGTTTTAAACAATAAAATGCTTTCTTTGTTTGTTATTACTGGAATTAACGGAAGCAGCTGTTGCAAAAAAATACAAAACCCGAGTTTATATTTATATCATATTATATATTATATTAATAATCATTCAAAGTAGGGTTAAAAAGATTAATTATTGTATTAATGATGCGAACATCTTTACATGTTTCGTTGATGGAACAGCCACTTATCAAGAAATCTCAGATTAAAAAAAACATTAATCATGCCTAATGTCGTTCATGCAGTGATTAATGCAATAGATTTTCTAAGAAATAAAGGAGAAAATATTCAGTGGATGTAAATATAGAATTATAAAACTTCAAACGTTATCTATGGAATTTAGTGAAATCAATGTACGAGGGGCGTTCAATAATATTTTCTTTTAAATAAAACACATGTCCGTAACATTTTTCTCCAATTCCTGTTTCTTTTTTTTTTTTTGTATTACCCTTCGTATACTGGAATATGGCAGATTTTATGATTTCCTGGACATGTTTCTTCTTTCAAAAAGATGTTTTTTCAACTTTTGAAAATGAAAACAGTCAAAGGGTGAAAGCTCTGGCAAATATTGCTGCATGGTGTGACAAAAAATTACCTTTACGTTTATCCTAAAAAAAACTTAACTCTTCATGGCGTGTTGGATTGGACGCTGTCATGACGAAATTTAATGTAGTGGATTCCTGATTCGGTTCCTAGCTCTGATAAACCTTTCGATATTTTTGCAAAAAAAAATTGCTTTTTAAACTTCTCCAGAAATTGAAATGCCTCCCCGAGTAAGAATTTGATCAATAATATAACTTATATTTAAGAAAATGCTGTATGAAACTATTTATGCTTTTGCTATTCATAGTTTTTCTCAAACCTTGGCTGTTTTTGTCAAGTGCATCTTATTATCAATTTGTTTTTAGGGTTAAGAGCAATTGATTCAAGTTTCACTATCTATTTGAATTTCAGAGTTGATAATTACATTTCTTTTAAAATAATTGTTTATATATTCGTACACGCTGTCGTTTTTACTCATTTTTCAAAACATAGGGTGACAATTGAGTACTAAGCTTTTTATTGTCAAATGTTTCTGTAAAATAGTGTAAACTACCCCCAAAAATAATGCTTATCAATTTTGCTATATGTTTTGGGGTCAATCAAACATGATTTGTTGAATTTTGGCAAACAGTAAATTAGTTCATGTCAGTCTTTGTCCCAAAGGACGGTACCTATTATAGATGCCCATTTAATTATTTTTGTGCATGTACATTTTCAAATAAAAAAATACAGTGATTGCTGTAAATTAAAACTTTTCAGTGACCATTTCTTTGAGATTTTTAACGAGTTTTACAGCAGCTTTTATGAAGAGTTTAATTTTACACTAGTATACTGATTCTTTAGAATTCATTTATCATGCAGTGTCTCGAATAGTCCCCCGTTCGCCAGCTTCTCACTATGAAACTATGTAAAGAAAAGCGGTCACATGAACTGTAATCAATTTATTTAAGATTAAAACATCAAGATTTATGTCATATGATTTCTATGTTGTATGTCATACAGCTTATTACATTATTTATTGAACGCCTCTCGTAGATTGATTAATACTGAAATTGTTATCAAAGAATTCATTTAACTAGAGAATGTCGGGGTATAGGATTAATATTTTTATTTTAAATAGCCAACTCTTTCATTAACCTTGCAATTCACCTGACCATTTCATCTATTCAAAAAGTTATAAAAAAAAAATGGGAAGGTTCCGGGGGGAGGGGGGGGGGGCATACCATCTAACTTCAAATATAAATATATCATTTATCTAGTAACTGTACTTTACGTGATTCAATCTGTCGCTTTCGGTTTATTTCATGTAAATTAAGTTTAGTTTTGCATCCGAACTATATTTCAATTTGACTTCTACACTTTGTTTATCCTAAAGGTTTCTCGAAACTGTTACTTTCGTACTTTTCAATTACAAACCTACATTTACAGTGTAAACTGTTCGAATACCAAACGTCTAAATCATCGTATGCTTACTCGTTTAACATGATTCAACTGAATATGTCATTTTCGGGCTGTAAAAAAGGTAAAAATGACAATCTAAAAGAAATTTTAAACGTCTTTAGTTTAGGATTTTCCATGATAGAAATTCTTCAATTGGTGTGAGACTTCTATTTGTTATATGGATTATGAATGCCAGTACAACTGTAGATGGATGTCACAACTGACCTCGACTTGTGATGGATTCTTTAAATTAGAATTAACAAACCAAAATAAATAATATTTTTGAAGACCCCCTGTGTACCAGGAGACAAGATTTATAAAAATCAATAGTAAATTAAAATACCTATGCACAATGAATATCAAATCGGCCAAAGGTTCGCGGCTTTCAAGAGAGTTTCACACCACGTCCCAACGTCATCCACGGTCAACCATAGTGTCTATATTGTCCCTGCCGGTCCACCATATCCCTAGATTTAGCCAGCCTCCACATCAGCAAATACTCCCGTCCAAAACAAAAGCTTTATATACAATTTTGGTCACCAACAATTTCCATAGAGTTTTCTAATAATATTATATATATTCAAAACACATATCTGTTCAATATATTTGATTGTACAAACAACATATATTTGCCGTTTAACAAGTAAATGAATTAGAACGTAAATATAAACATTCTCGCTAAATCACTAACATTTTTACATAGAACATTGCTCTTTAAAACAAAAATACTGTCAAGTGTAAAGACATCAATCTGTGGCATTTTACATATAATAAACAGACTGTCGGGCCCAAGGTCTTGCTTTCAACGCCGCTACAAACATCCCTAAATCCCAATTCATTTATCCTTGTATTTACTTTTATTTTTCTATTTTCTGATAAATAAGAACTTACAAATGATTGCAGCAGAAAAAATTAGAGTATTTCTAACACTGTGGCCATTGTTTGTGAAGGAAATGGTTATACGTAAATGTATGTAAAAAGAACCTGGCTTTCGTTTACGTCTCAAAATTCATTTTGTGCTCACAGTTCATATTTTATTCTTCAAAATCCCATCCGATTTAGTCCATGCAGTGAAATTAGTAGAGTTTATAATCTTCATAAAACAACAAAGACAAAGGTTAGGTTTCGAAATCTCCTACAAAGACCTTAACTTTATATATATCATAAAATTAAAAATTATTGAGTAGGAAAAACTTCAAACTTTGTATTCAACAGCGCATTTGAAAAGTGGTGTAAATCAAACTGGAATTCCATAGAATATTTGAAAGTAAGAAGTCACATAAAATTATCTTTGCTCATTTTCAAGGGTTTTTTTTTCACTAGATTTCGAATATATACTTCTTACAAAATCTTTTCTTTCTCTACCTTATACATCCTCTTCACATACATGTATTCACAGAGTTCCCTTGTTCATACATTTTATTAAGACAGTTTATCCTTTTATTTGTCGTTACCTTTGTATATTGTCTATTACTTATTGATCGAGTGGTGCATGATTTAAATGAAGTCTCCGTTAATCATTATTTCATCTTTCTTCCAAAAAAAATTTGGAATTGGTTCCCTTCGTAACATTTTCTTATAGCCCCCTATTGCTTGAAAATTACGGTTTTTAAACTGCAGATTTTTTTAAATAATGAAAATTCGCAGATATGCGACTTTTCGTCTCTTTAAATGTCTGCTTTGTACAAAAGCGGATTTTACACTTCAATTGAAAGAGTTTTTGCATGATTGATCACGTTTGAAAATAACCTACCTATTTTTAACTCTTCAAAACCGGTCTGAATTTATTCGGCTGTCGTTAATGATATCTTGTTTTCTTCCTGGTTTGCCCCAAGTTGAAATGGAGTATCTATACGTTTTCCTTACGATAAGTTATTTCTCAGGAGTTTTCGGTAAGTTAATCCACTGATGCCCAGTTTATTTTATCAAATCAATATTATCGACATCGCTATGTAGACAGTGTTAACACGAGATGCTGTTTCCATAGCCTACGTTGTTTTTATTTCTATATTAGAATTGATATTATCATCAATGCCATGACGATGTCGACGATGTGAACGATGTAAACAAGAAAAAAGAATAAAATACTACAATTTTCTTATCGATATAGTTTAACACTGCTATAAAGATAAAAAAAGATTTCGTCCAACATTTCTATATAGAGTGGAATCAAAATAAAAACGATATATATATCAATGTTGACAAATCATTCAACAATAGAATGTTTGAATATTTTCTTTAGTTACAGTAGCAAATTAAGCTAGTTGAATGAGGAGCAATGTCGAAATGTGATTTATATATTGCGGTGATTAAACAATGTGCACCTCAGATAGTCATTTTCATTGCTCAAATACAGCTGCTTATTTTTAATACATAGGCGTCGGAACAAGGGGAGTCGGGGCTAAGCCGAACTTTTTTGCAAAGATATACATAAAAAGGCATTGAGTTGGGTTTTATCTTTTTTGTTTAGCCCCCCCCCCCAATTTCAATTAGCCCCCCCCCCCTTTTCAATTTGCTTTCGACGCCTATGTAACACCTTTCAAAACATAAAATCTGACATTATCTTTCTTGTGGTTGAATTATTGCATTAAAGTGCCCTTCGTTATTTCTTTGCCTGTTTTGGCAATTTCAAAAACATTGAACCCGGAAGAAAAAAAACAGAATTTTATTCCAAAGCTTTATTTAACTTTTGCTAGAAAAAAAATGACATTTCCTTGCTATTAATAACATTTTCATAAAAATATTCATTGAATTATTTTATCAGCACACATTTTAAAATGTTTATTGGTTGATGACATTTCCTTAGCATATTAATACAACCACTATTTGTTTCATGGATATGCATATATTTTAAGTACAATCTTACAAAATGGTATAATCAAAATATATTTCTAACAACTTTAGTTTAATAATGAATAACAAATGATTATTTTTTAACATCTTTTTAGGAAATTGTGCAAAGACCAGTGAGTAACTTAAAAACTTACATTATATAAAGATATTGATACAATGTATTTGAATTTATTTTCCTATTTTTCAACATGAGGAACGTGTTTGTAAATGTTCTGAAAACAATTTAATCACAAATTAAAGACATTCAAGAGCATGACTTACCAAAATTACAGATTAAGAATGCGAATATAAATTGTTCATATATTACTTTCCTTATAATTTTTTTGTTCAGGTTGTGAAAAAAATCAGCAGCTAATGATACAAAAAATAATATAAATACATGTAGGTACGTTCAAGATTAATCTAAAATTGAGTCTTTTCTCTTTTGAAGCGCCAAATACCTTGGTAACCAGTTGTGATGGAATGACAAAATCTGGATCACAAATTTTTATCGACTTTCCACAAATAAATCAAACTTGTACCTGTACTGTGATCCCGGCGTTTGATGGTAACTTGTTTGTGGGTGCGGTAGTTAAAGTATTCCCATGTGATGCATTTGTTAGATTGACCAGCGAAATTCTTTTCAACTGTGAAAAACAATCTGAAACTATAACGGTCCCAGTTAAGAATACACATTCAGTAACAGTGCTAGCTGACTACAAATCAGAAAGTTCTCGCAAACAATTTTACCACTGTCTACACATTCAGGAAAATGGAGGTCGTAAGTCAACTTTTTATCTGAATGTTGAAATGTTAATAACTATACATTTTCCAAATTAAATCATTTTTGTATGTGCAGTTGATTTTATAAAAAATTTACCAATACATTATGTAATTTATAGGTACACCCCGTCTATTTCAACTTGATTTGTTTTAATATGAAACACGATGTGATAACGAACGGTATTTGAGCTTATAAATTCATTTAGAATCACAAAATATGAGAGGAGCAAACACGGCCATCAAACACATCAGACGTGGGATCAGGTTCAATGAAGGATGGAGGATTCCCTGCCGAACGATCACACTCTCTGTGTGATCCTTGTGATGATCAGAAAAATACGGAAAATATCCGTAGACAACTCAGTGTGTAAATAATGGTCTATCAATCAGTTTGAAAAAAAGTCATTCAGCAATTGAGTTGATGATGAATTGTATTTGCTGACAATGTCTTTGCATCGACCATAAGACTTAACAAATTATGCTCGTATCTGTGCTTCATGAACTTGTTTGTCAAAAAAAGTACAACGTATTAGAAATTGTTTATTCGAACATGTAGAACATGGTCTTCCATATCGAATCAACCTAGGGATAAAAACTCCACATGCATGCAACAAAGGTATATTGCATCATAAGTCAGGAAAATTGATGGTTGCACATTTAAAATCACCATGTTTATATTCATTTTACAATTTTTATATAATACACTGAAATCACAAATTGTCGTGGAGAGGGGGGGGGGGGTAATTTGCGTTGTTTAAATTCCCAAATAACAAGGGTTTTTACTTCAACCACGAAAATTTGACCCCACGAAAATATGTGATTTTACAGTAATCTATCTATTTATTCATTTATTTTGTAGAGGGTGGAAATGTAAATGTTACGTGCGGAGAGATGTCAATAAGTACGGTCAAATCAACAATGAGTTCAAGTTCACTTGGTGACACTTCGTCTAAGATACCTTCAATTACGACAAACACAAAAGATAAAACTACTGAGAATAATTCAGTAATTCTTACTCCTAATATTCTTGTCAATTTACCCGAGGCTGAGGATGAATTGAATTGTGAGTTATTTTTGTTTTTTTTTCTTCATATTTCAAATTGTTAATTTGTCATTTTGTTGTTATTTTAATTCTTTACTAAATTTCACCGCTTTTACATTTTAACATTGAAAACACTAAGCGAATTTGACAGCTATTAAATTTTGCACATGGTATTTTATTGCATATGCTCCAAGTGCAATGTTTACATATACTCGGACAACATGTAATTTTCACAACTGTATGTAAATGAGCTTATTTAAACTGGGCTAACTAGTTTCGAAATACGAAAATGTCAAGATATCAATATAGTGTTTTGGTTTCAAACAACGATATTGATACGACCGAACATGTAAAAGCCAGATGTGTTTTTTAAACAATGATAAATCTAAAGCTTTTTCAAAGGTAAGCCATACTCTAACAATTGGTTAAAAGGATCACTACTTTTGATACTTAGAGAAAGAATTTTTTTTAAAACGAAATTGTAATATGAAGACCCTATCATCAACATTTAAAACGTTAGTGTTAAAGTTTATAAATAGGTTCGGTTGATACCCTGAAAAGGTCTTGTCTCTCCAAATACACATTTAAAGTGATGTACCTAAAGTTAACATTAGCAATATAAAATAATTACTGTGAAAATCTTAACGTTATTTTTTTTTCAAATCGAAGCAAAACTCTGAGATGACCTTAATTAAAAAAATGTAAAGAAATGAAGAAAGGTCCTTTCATAAAGAATACGTATTCATGTAAAAATTAAAAGCTAGGTTTCCAAATTGCAAAAATTAAGGACAGGGGTTAAAGTTTGTTTTTTTTTATCTATAAACAGACACAAAGCCAGACAAACATACATTTCGTGAGCTAGACTTTGATAAGAGTTTCGATAGTTGTGTTTTTGCACAGGTAATTTTGCATTTTGATATGTTGTCTAATGGTTACCGTATCAGTGTGTTGTAATTTTAGTTTTGATCACAACATCCTAGCATGTTGATCATTTTACAACATACAGGTATGTTTAACATACCAAACGCGTAACGTATGAATGCTACAAGTGTTCGTTAGTACTTTTTAACAGTTAATTTTTCTGCAAAATCACAA